ACATTTCTTAAAAATAATAAATGGTAATTTTTGATTTGATAATGTCTTTTGCAGCTTTTTCAATACAAATACTTACTCTGTATGGAATTTGGACATCTGTATGTGACACATTCTTCCTCTTTTGTATTGCTTTTCATCAGTTCTTTGTTGCTGGATAATTCTTTGTTTTTGCCCAGTATCTATCTTAGCTCGTGCCCGTGGGCTTGCTGTCCTGACTGTGTTTAAGGCAGGATTCCTTGTCAGCGCTAGAGGAGGCAGTGGCATTGTTATTGCCAGAATATCTGAGGACAGTAAGTCACTGTAGGATGCAAATGTATTCATGTCTATTTTTTAAACACTATCTCTCTCCCTATATTATACATATAGCAGTAACATCATTTGGGATATGAGACATATGACATGTTATTCTGTGAATGTGAAAAATTGGGTGCAGTCAAAGCATGACATTTTTCTTTGTCATAGTTATGTCAATTATTTTTGAGGTTACGAGAGCCCACCTGTACAATACTGCAAATCTAAAGCTGTAGAAAATTAATATGGTACTGAAAAGGTTGCTGTGGTAACTGTTTGACATTTATCGACAGGATGGTCAGCGCCATCTGCAGTGGGTCTTGCAGGACTGGGAGGTGGATTTGAAATTGGAGCTGAAGTGAGCATCACTCTTTTCTTTGAAATACCGGGATGTGTATTTAGTAAGTGGATATTGAAATTGAGATATACATGTAACATTCACAATATAATAAAATAATATGGTTCTATCTTTCAGGTCACAGACTTTGTCATTATCCTAAACAGTCAATCGGCAGTAGATGCTTTCTCCAAGGGTGGCAACCTGACATTAGGTGGCAACTTCACAATTGCAGCAGGTCAGCAATTCTCCATATATCTAGTCTTTTTTGTAATGTCACTTTTGAATGCATGACTGTGATAGCATTTTAAAATATCACGCAGTGTGTTATGTCATGCTCTGAAGATCATTTATATGTACTATTAATATAATAGGGCCACTTGGCAGGAACATGGAGGGAGATGTTGCAGTTAGAAGCCCTTCAGCTATATACACCTACAGCAAAACCAGAGGACTGTTTGCTGGGATATCCTTGGAAGGGACAGGAATCATCGAAAGGAAGGATGCAAATAGGAAGTAGGTTAAAAAGTCAATTTTCAGTGTTTTCTACTGCCTATAATGCGATAACTCAGAGGCCCATAGCTTGTTGATATGTGTACTGTACATTGGCCTTCATATTGTTTTTGTTTCAATGTTTTCTATGAGAGTGTTAGTGTTACTTTGTTTCTCCTTTTTGTATGATAAAAGTTTTCATACCTGTTGTCCAGGTTCTATGGTGGGGATGTGCGGGCATATGAGATCCTGAATGGCACCGTACATCCTCCATCAGTGGCAGACCCTCTGTACGAGATCCTCCACAGACATTATGAAGCTGCAGAGAAAATTCTGGTGGAGGCTGCCAAGAAGGCTGCTGTGAAGAAAGCTGCAAAAGCTGACCGTCCCAAGGTGTTTTTCCATTGTTGTTTATGTTAGGAGTTGTAATGGCCATGATTTCTGTCACCATTACTGTTTGTATGGCTGGGCAGTGTTCATTATATCAATAACAAGAATCACAACCTTTTTAGCATGATACCTGTGATTTGTACAGTTGATATATTCTCATGTTCTGATCCCTCAGAGTTTCAGTTTTGGAGCCTACAGAAGCAAGTCCATGAAGAATTCTTCCACTTCAGGTGTGTGAAATAATGGTTTAAGGTAGACGTAGTTCTGTAGATGAAGAAAATTAAACTGTTTTCCAACTCATGCTAGTTCTGTAGACATGGCTTGCTTCAAAGGACATGTTTTTGGTGATGTGCTGTATTATTATGATAATTCTGTCAGCATATTTCTACTCACTATCAATTGTTCTGTGCAGATGATAAACCGTCCAGGAAAATGAGATCCAAATTCACATCAGCGAGGAGATGTACCAGTTTGGTGGAGGAGCATACAACCAGTGAAGAAGGTTGGTGTTGATTTATCAATGTCTTAATGTGTCATCTGCCATCTTGGGGGATGAGATATGTACTTTTAAAGGGACTGTCCAGTGGATTAATGTTGCACTGAAAGCAGCACTGACACAAGACACCTGACATTGTTCCTTTCTTATTATTATTTGATAAATGTTAGGGGCTTGCTGTTTCTCTAACCACAACTATTTCTCAGACCTTCAGAGCATCTTTATGGACAGACTGGCCTGCCCGTTTGAAGTTACAGCATTGTTCAGCTTTGAGGGAGAGCTGCCCTGTGACCTGTACTTCCAAGAGGGAGACAAGATTACTGTCCTGACCAGAACTCATACCCAAAATGACTGGTGGGAAGGGAGGTTAAAGGGCAGGAAGGGGATCTTCCCTGCCAATTACGTGCAGTTACCGAGGCCTTAGTTCAAAGGCTAAACCAAACACGTCCTTGCTTTTCTGTGTACAGGTGGTAACATGCCTTTAATAACCCATGGACAGCAAAATTTGTTCTTACAGGGGAAGTAATATTACTAAGTGGAGCTGACACTAATATATGTCTCAAATGTTCATGGCATATCTTGTAGTTGTGACTATATGGTATGGTAACATGGTTGGGAACAGACAGTTGTTACAGCATCAGATAACAGATGAATTCTGCTGATGACTGTAATAGAATAATTGTTAGGTCATGGAATACTAGACGTACATGTATGTTCAGTGTGTTTGTGTGTTATATAGCTTATAGATGACAATAATGTGCAATTTTGTCTGACCAATCAATGTTGTAATGTAGTTTTAGACTGGTAGAGGGCTGGAGCCATGTTTTACAATGCAACCAATCAAGAATCTGAATCTACTTTTAAGTGAGTGCTTATACTATTTTTTATAGGAAGATCTTACAATATTGTGGACAGCAATAAGTTTGAATGGTTACAGAAAACCTTCCTGGCTGCCCACGTCAACTAAGCCCTTAGTTTCCTGGTCATATCCAACCGTATCATGTCTGCAGATTTCATGTTAAGTGCCCTTTTTACTACATTGGTCCTATGATGTTTCTTAAGGCAGAGTGTAAATAATATGCACTTAAATTTATAGTGTTGGTAAGGCGTTTTATATACTTGTATTATGAGGCAACTTAAAAATTGTTTTTAACTTATTTTTCTACTTTCAAGGCTACAGAGCATTAACTATGTTAAGTGGTGAAATAAAGACTCATTGTTTATTTGAATAGCTTCTTTTGTGCATCTTTATCATGATCACTAATATGGAAGAAAGAAAGAAAAGGCGTAATTGCAAACCAACAGCAACAGTTGCATTGGTGCCAGCATAATTACTTTATTCATTATTACTTTAATCATTTTTACATACTTTTAGTTTAAACACAGTTTCAGTGGTCATCAGACAACAACAAGTTAATTAATAAATGATTATCTTTTTCAGCTCACAATTTTTAAACATATAATCTCAGTACTTGGTACTAAGAAAGTAAGACCCAATTGCAACCGATCATGCCCTAAAAGATCCAGTTCTAATTTTAACATCAAATTCTACAATGATGGAATATTTCAACACTAAATGCTAAACCATATGAAAATTCTTTGCAGTTTTGCAAGACAATTTGCTTTCTGTTACTTGAGCAATGCAAACTTAATGTACTCTCCACTTTCTGGCACAGATGAGTTTGGATGTTCCAGGACTCTACACTGTGTCAAGGAAAGCCTTGCAGCAACGCACACACTGCTGATACACTCTCTCAAAGTCAGACTCTTCTCCCTGCAAAATATTGCATCCTACAGTTTAATGTACATCATAACTCATAAGGTATTTTATAACAAATGTGATATATATCTCTGGTATGCAAAACTGAATCTTCTGGTTAACAATATGTGACACTTACATAGTAAGGGTCTTCAATGACCTCTTGCCCCTCAGGATCAAAGCTGCCTAGTAGCTTCACTGTTGCTGTGGATTTTGGAGGCTGGATGTTTTTCAAGTTGCTACAAAAGAAAAATACATATTTTACAGGCAATTGTCATGAAGTAAATCAAGACTAAAAAATTCTACAGTCTTCTGGTACATTTAAGTGTCTGGCACAAAATAAAAATATTTTTAGATTGAACAATATGTTTATTATCATTTAAATCAAAATACATGTAAGTGTACTATTGACAAAAGCATTCAGTACAATCTGTTCTTTTTTTTTCTCTTTTTTTTTCCATGTTCAATGCTCAAAGTGTTTACCTTATGTTGTTATGATCCATACCAAGGATGTACTGAAACTTGGTGAAGTCCTCTTCTGTCACCTTTCACATGGAAAAACATGCAGATTAGCAACTGCAGCAACTGAGGGTTTGGCTTGTAAGATGCCATAATTGTTTGGTAAACTTGGGTATTCCACTTCTACCTCCATGGGTATTTCAACACTGTGAGTCATACAGTGTACATGCATTACTATTAGTTGCAGTTACTAGTAATAACAAACAAACAAGCTAAGACAAGACAGATGTAAGCCCACTATAACTACCTGTCTTGCAATCTGTTCCTTATAAACGCCGTGCTTCCTCATGCACGCCTGGCCCCTCTCATCTGGTGGGAGCCCCACATTCCAGTCATGAGTGCCTGCACTGTCTACTGTCCACTACAACATATACAGTTAGTTAAAAAGCACTGTCAAAACAGGTTAGTACATTAGAAAGCAGCATCTGACAAGTACCTGACGCACGATGTGACCATAGGGCACAGAATGCCTTTCTAGGCAGGCCCTAGACCTTGGGTCTGCTCGCTTCCCTACATGCATGTCGATGGTTGCTGCACTGTTGATGTCCCACTGTCACATACACAAACACAAGGACACTTTTGAATGAATGACCCATGGCTAGATGATGGTAACACTAGTAACAATAGGAAATAGGTACTAACTTCATCTTTGGACTTTGTGTTACATCAAGCTCAGATATCATCAAGCTAACCACACCACTATCATTAGTCATCTATTTGACAAAAATCGTTCACAGAAAAATATATTTCATCAAATTCATAACCAAATGCAAAGTACTTTACAAACTACAGGTCTGTGACATAACGTTTAAGTATTTTGACAAATGATCACGAATACTCACCTGTTCCAGTTGCCCCTTCTCTCTCACCAGGTGAGTGAAAACAGCCTCTGCTATGGGTGACCGGCAGATATTACCTGTTTATATTAATATAATTAATAATATGTTAATATTCTTAATAAATATAACTATTATACAATTTTCTGAAAAAATAGTTTCTTCGTTCGAATTCAACACGGGCCTTTTCGTTTTCTGTCTAAAATAAAATGTCATCAAACTCTTGTAGTCTATGTTGGCACTAATTTGACAAATAGCAGCGGTGATTTGAAAGATTTGCGGAAACTTACCAAGACAGACGAAGAGCACAGACTTCTTCCCACTTTTGGCAGCCATGGCCCGGTAGGTTGCAGCGAATAAGCCTGCAATTAGAGTAAATTCTCAAACTAAGTCTAGACTCTACTAACGGGAGGGGTCCAAAGTCCGGCAGGGGTCCAAAGTCCGGCATAGTTTTAAAGATTATTATAATTCTGTTATGCATGGGTGAATCCACATAATAAGAACAATCAGTTATGGAGCAAGACTTTATGTAAAAAAATAACAAAATCGGAAAGTTTGTCGAAGTTTATTGCTCAAACTGCTAGCGATTGAAATATTTGTTTTAATTTAACGCTTTTCGCGGAGGTTGACGAGAGAACGTGTCCAGCACATAGCCTTCAGAACTGTCAAATCATTCATCCTAAAGTGTGACATGTGCAAAGATTTTACCACACACGTGAAAGGTGATTATTATACTTTCCATAGAAAACACACCATGGCTTGACATTGTCTTTATCCTTGGAAAATCGAAGCTTAAATAGCGGGCAAATGTTTACACCTAACGGCCCGCCATCTTTACTGAGCCGCTACGAACAGGCAGCCGGGCGATACAACAGAAAGAAGTTTGTAAACTCGTCGGTAGAGCGCCGACTATTCCCGAAAATCAAACCCTACCTGTTCAAAAAATCCCATAGTCACTACTTCTGCCAAATAATTATAAGGCTGAAAAGACGATCAAGGCAACCGAAAGCGAATATACTAGTATTTGGGCGCACGCAGTTGTTGTAAACAACGCCGCCATTTTGTTTCTTAGTGGCGGGGTGACTAAGCTTTCACCGAGGGAGACTTGTATCTACGAACATTGGAAAAAGTGGCGTAATAGAAAATATGGCACATTTTTGGGACAAAAAAATAGTATTGCAAACTTATAGTGTTATTATGTTTGCATGGAGTGCTGAAATAGTCACAGCACGGACTTGGTTGTTACGTATGCCGGAGTTTGGACCCCCTTTTGGTGTTGGAACGTTCCACGAGAACGCAAAGCAAAAACCTGCCGTGACTCTCGTGTGCTGTCAAACGGCAGTGCGGAACGCTACCGTGAAATGAAATATACGCCTGTACAGCTTAAATCACAGATATATTGCTGTTTCAAGATCAAGCCTTATTTTTTGATAGGTTTAGGGTGACATATACAGTAACAAAATACGTGCGTCAAAACGTAGAACAGTATGCCGGACTTTGGACCCCTCCCGTTATCGTCTGAACTCTAGTTTCCCGCCAATTTAGTGTCGTCTGATCTGTACTTTCCCGCCTCTTTTCAGTCACCTCAGTGTCGTCTGAACTCTAGTTTCCCGCCACTTTTCGGTGTCGTCTCCTCTCTACTATCCCGCCACTTTATAGTGTCGTCTGAAGTCGCCTTTCGAATCCCTGGCAATTTTCGATGTCGTCTGAAATTTAAGTTTCCCGCCACTTTTCAGTGTTGTCTCGACTTTCACGGTGGAACTCCTTTCCCGCTAATTTTCAGTGTCGTTTGAACTCTCCTTTTATAGTGTCGTCTGAACTCTACTTTCCCGCCAATTTTCGATGTCGTCTGAACTCTCCTTTTTCCGCCACTTAAGTGTCGTCTGAACCCTAACGTTACTTTCCCGCCAATTTTTAATGTTGTCTGAACTAGGCGGTGGAACTCCTTTCCCGCTAATTTTCAGTGTCGTTTGAACTCTCCTTTTATAGTGTCGTCTGAACTCTACTTTCCCGCCAATTTTCGATGTCGTCTGCCACTCCTTTTTCCGCCACTTAAGTGTCGTCTGAACCCTAACGTTACTTTCCCGCCAATTTTTTATGTTGTCTGAACTATCACGGTGGAACTCTACTAGAAGTTCCCGCCACCTTTTAGTGTCGTCTGAACTCTAAATTCCCGCTAATTTTTCAGTGTCGTCTGAACTCTCCTTTCCCGCCATTTTTAGTGTCGTCTGAACTTTTACGGTGGAACTCTACTTTCCGCCTCTCTTCACAGTGCCATCTGAACTCTAAATTCCCGCCAATTTTCAGTGTCGTCTGAACTCTAAATT